TCTCTCTCTCTCTCTCTCTCTCTCTTCTCTCTCTCTCTCTCTCTCTCTCTCTCTCTCTCTCTCTCTCTCTCTCTCTCTATACTCCACGTGCTGTGTCGCTCGCTGTAGGTCTCAGGTTGCTGTTGAACGTTGAGGAGGGCGAGTACAGTCAGTGGCTGCACGACGGTACGGCACTGCGCGTCGCCGTGCACGAGCGCGGCTCCATGCCGCAGCCCGACGTCGCCGGCGTCGTCGTCTCCCCGAGCTCGCAGCTCACCGTTAGACTGACGACGGTGAGAGAGTGCTTGTCGCTGTAGTGCGTTTTATGCGCATCTGGTAGATAGTTGGCGCGCATCTAAATCGTCTCTCGGGCGTCAAGCATGGATGCAGCCAGCAGTACAAGTTATAAAAGCATACTTATAGTTATTATTATTTATTTTTATAGTAGCCCCTCCCCTTATAATCATAGTACTATATCCTACGATACACGTTATAGTAGTCTATTTATAGTATTATATAATATTAATAGTATTTATATTAAATGTAGAACATGTAAAATGTAATGTAATGCAATGTAATGATGTTGTATAACCTAATATTGTGTTTGTAACCGTAATGAGCTCCATGTCGGCGTGCTGTTCTATTGTTTTCTGGCAGACGAGCTTCGAGCGCCTGGGGTCGCCATACAGAGCGGCCGACTGCGCAACAGAAAATCACTTCACCGCCACGACGTTTACAGAGAATTTCGGATTCGACTACACGAAGAGCGTAAGAGTGTCAACGTCTCGTATTATCCCGTTACCGAACCGAGGTGTTTAATGAATGCGTGATGGGCCGGGGTGGGGTGGGGTGACAGCGAGTACACGAGGAGGATAGATAGGAATTATTAAATAATATGGTGGTATATGTGTGAAATGACGGATAAATGAATGGATGGACGGGCGAAAAATCGAATATACATACGGACTGATGGGTAGTCGGGCGAACAGAGGAACGGACAGCCGAAAAGACTTGCGGATTGGACGGACGTACGAACGGACAGACGGACGGACAAACGGACGGAAGGACGGGCGGATAGACGCAATGACTAACGGATATACTGACGAACGGATTAACAAACAGCTGACGAACGGGCGCGCGCGGATAGACGAATAAATGGAAGAATGTCGGAGGACAGCTAGATCGATCGTGTTCTTAGTAAGTCAATTAATTCTCTCCTTCCCGGCTGGTCGATAATAGGCGTGCTTCGACATGTGTCTGCAGTCAGAGATAGAGTACGGATGTGGGTGTTACGATGCAAGGCTTCAGCCAACTCTAGCATCACACCCCTGCGAGGAACAAAACCGTAAGTATGAAACGACGATGATTCCCATCGACTTAGATAGAATTAAAAAGAATATAATTTTTCTCATATATTTCAATGGATTATCGTTTAGGCGCCATTTTGTATTACGTCACAGGCGAGGATCTGTCTTGCATGATGGCCCGCACCAGCGAATACGAAAAAGGTCAAAGTTCGTGTAACTGCGTCGACGAGTGCAGGTAAGCGTAGAGTTGTTGAGGTGAGGGTACCAACAGCGCGTGACGCCCGCGATATATATATATATATATATATATATATATATAGTGTGTGTGTGTGT